ACATAAAAAATTATAAAAATTAATATATATTTTAATACTATTGATATGTTGATAATTTTAATTAGTTAATTGATTAAATTAAAATTAATATTTATACTTTTAATAAAAATTAATTATAAAAAATATATTTATTACATTTTACCATATACCTTAAAAAAATATATAAGATAAAAAAAATCCTTTAGATAAAATGTATAATTAGACTTCTCTTTTATCTTTTTAGAGCGATGTGCTAGCCTTTTACAGAGGGAAGAAAGGGTGTAAAATATGTCGAAAAGAACAAGTCAACGAAGCATTACACATGTAGTTTTTCCACATTATTGATTTTTAAATCCGACCATTTAAAAGTACTGGGGCCTTCGATTCTAATGGTATTATACCATATATAAGTACATTTTTTTTAAAAATAATGATTTAAATTTGATTTTTTTGTAAATTTGTTCAAAAAAATAAAAATTTGACCATTTAAAATGTACTTATTAAATGAGTTGAGATAAATTTACATAAGATTTAGAATTTATATGTGATCAATTTACATAAGCCATTGAATTTGTGAGACCAATGAGAGGTTGCGTTCCAAATTGCTTTTTCACAGCATTTCATTAAAAAGTATGATTTATTATGTTTAAATATATGAAATAGTACTTGTCTGCCTTATCCTTTAAAATTTATGAGAAAAATTATTGTTTTAGTGAATTTTCATTAAAAAAGTATTAAAATATTATTTTTTTAAAGTATGAATTACAATGTTTTTTGTTTTTTCTTCTAGTGCTTTATTGAAATTACGTAGTTTTAAAATAATTTTTTTTTAATTTTTAAGAAGTAAGGTAAATAAATAATAAATTATTAAATATATTTTAATTAATATTTTATATAATTTACTAATTATATTAATATTGAATACATTTTAAAATTAAATATGAAATAATAACATAATTTTTATAATAGCAAATAATAATAATAATAATAATAAGAAACCTACAACTATAATAGTCTACAACAATTTCGAACATAACTTGAGGTTCTGTTATGCTATATGCAACATTATAGCCTCACCCATTGAATTTATGAAATCAACTACTAATAATTTATAACTAGCTTACATAAATACTGCACTTAAAACATTGCAAACCTAACATCATTTGAGAAAATTATTTTACAGAATATATTATATGTAGTTTATTATGTAAAATTATTTAAATATTTTTAATTTTATTTTTATATTATCTTTTAAAAAATATTTAAATAATCTTATTAGACTAACTATATGTAAAACAATTTTTTGTTTTATATTTTTAAACAACAATGTAAAAATAAAAACATCTATGAATGGACTCTACCTTTCAGACCCATTCATAAATAACTATGACGTACATCCTCAACAGCAAGTCGTCCTCATCTTCCAAACTCTCTTTTTCAGATATCTGATATCTGAATTAATTTGTTTTGTGTACTTTAAACTATTGAAAACGCAGAACATACAAGCACGAACCCCCCGCTTTGACTTTGTGCAGTTACGTGCGGAGAAAATTAAATGCAGATTAGTTAATGCCCACCAAAATTATTTACCTACCCTACATTGTTTCACACATATATCAATTGAGGATTTAATTATCAATTGCTGCATACGCCACGCTTAGTTAGTCAAACACAAATATAATAATATGATGATTTCTGATGAATGAGCAAATGTCATGATAATTTCCAGTCACATCCCAGGATTCAAACCAATCTTAAACTTTGAATGTTGAAAGAGGAAAAAAAAAACCAAAAAAAGAATTCTTGTGTATTTGAAACCAAATCTGTACACCAACAAGATGGTTAATGCATATGGTTGTGTGAAAGCCACCCGTGGTGGGGAATGAGAAAAGAATCCATGACTGCTAGCGTCAAGCTGTTGCTTCAGTCTTGCAAACAGGGCAGGTTTTCTTCTGCGCTAGCCACTGTTTTATACATTGAATGTGGAAGCCGTGTCCGCAATATAACTTCCCCATCTCATCATCTGCTTCGTATTCCTCCTGTATTCAGAGAATGCAAGTTATTTGTAAGTATTGTAATGGAAGGGCAAGACACTAACACAAAAACTCAACGAAAAAGTGTTGTGCAATTCAGACTATTCTAGAATTGACAACTTTTAACGTTAGGACGGAGGCGGGTCCTTGACATTGGGGTCTCTCTCTCCATCTAATGGTTCCTATTTTACAATCCAGTACATTCCAGAACGTAAAACAGGGAACTCAAACCTCAAACCACAACAAATCACTGTTACAAATTTACCTGACAGATACTGCACTTCCCATCCATGTGCACGGGAACATTTGATTGAAGGTCATTCAGCAATGAGTGCTTGGTTCTCCTGAGGCATTTGCTTACCTCATCTTCTTTCAATCCAGTATTCACATGACCGATTCTATCACCAAGGTCCAGTAATTGCTATTTACACCAGCAAAACAAGAAATGTTACTAGGGATATGCTCTCACAGTCTCACTACTGTTAACCAGAATAAGTAACAGTCTCACTACTTTTAACCAGAATAAAGTAAAATGATTAAACCAAAACTTCTACTTAAATTTGCTGAAAGAAAATGAACCTCATATGTCATATGGTCAACATCAAGCCTCCAATCGCTAAATTGATCGCGTGACTCTGATCGTCCTCCCATAAGCAAACTGTTCTGCAGCATAAAAATCTGCACCAGAAAGCACCAATGCTTAGATATGTCCATATTAACAACAGATGCTTGCTGAAACTTGGTGCCAAAAGTCAATTCATCAAAAAGAACACAGACAAGAAAAGATATCAGTACACTCCCACTAGGATACCTTGGGTTGTATTGCTGTGGAATTGAAAGACTTGTAAATCTTTTGCACTTTCCGAAAGCAATAAATATATTGAAAAAATAAGGGAATATCACTGTCTTTTTCAGCATTGGGGTGAAATGCCCATATACAAAACAATCCAACTACTTCCAGCCAAGAATCTTAATACCCTTTTTTTTTTCTTTCTACTGATGCTGACTAATTAATCATCACAATACCACTATCTAATTAAAGCTTGTAAAATGACATAATCATTTTCCCTAGCTGTTTCATGTGGTTCTATAAGACAAACTATGAGCTTTCAGTCATGTCACGTCCAATACTAATTTATTTTTGCGCTTATTTCAGACGAAACACGTATCAACAAAATATCGTTATCACTTTTAATGCTATTAATGTTATTCGTACAAATAGGTTAGACCAATTTAGTTTGATTATTTTCAAAGCAAATTCTAATAATAAATTTCAAGAAAGCAAGTTACCTACCAAAATTTCTATACCTGCAATTATACTTCTTTGTAAAAGAAGTTTGCTTAAGAAAAAGTTCATTTCATTATTCAGAGACCATCAAGTTGCAACGAGTTTTTATTAGGGATTGCAAGGGGCTTGATATCCCTAGTGATTCAGGGAAGCAACTCTGTCTTCTGTTCATTAACTTCAATGACTCATAGTTGACTCAACCAGAAATTCAACCAGTAAGGGTCATTTCAACCTCTTACAACCAGGCAAGACATACACTGCCAAATAGTTCTAGCTATTCCAGAAGATAAGGAGAATGCCATAGTTCAGTTCCAAGCAAAATCATTAACCATCTGTTAAATAAGTTATTCCACCCAATTTTGGTTTCCTTTACCCAACCTAGAAGAAATTGCAATTTATCTCTTGAGAAAAAATTTACATTTTTCTGTATGGGTAAGATAATAAGAAAAACCAAAGTTGAAAAGAGTAGAAAGAGGAAAAAAATCAAACCGATAAAGGGCTAAAAGCATTTTCAGGAAGCTATATCCAAGTAAAAACAATACAGAAAACTTGAAGCAGTCCCGAGAACCAACAGAAGCATAAAAAGTAAGGGTATGCACATACCTCAGCTAGCCCCTCAGGAGAAGGATGTCGAACATGACGATAGTATCTAGATGCAAAGAAATCCGGCTCAGGATGAGATGAAACAAAACCAGAGTCAGAATCAAGAAAGGAGAAAGCTTCTGGAGTCACAGTCCGCCTTGGCAAACAAGAACGCTGACCAATACAAAGAAGAAGCACAATAAGCAAATATAAGCAAAAAAGTTATACACAAACTAGAAAATACATAAGAAAATTTTTTTGAAATTCATAACTCAAAACACTATATAAGTGTCCGTGATCGGCCATCTATCCAAATATTATCAAAATTGTACCCTTGATATAAACACCATATACAAGAACAAGAAAGAAATTCACTCACAAGACCAAAGGGTACAAAAAGACAGTGATCAAAACTTCAGAATCAGAAGCAAAGAATCACTATGAAGAAACCCAATTAAAAGAATCTCTAAATAAATAAACAAGGATGCTCAGAGTTAAAGATCTTCTAAAATTGTACCAGATGGGAATAGCACAGAAGAGAGAAACCCTACACCACACTTAAATATAAGAAACGAGAGGCAGATTAAATTTCTACCTACACTTTAGGAGATTGAATAACTCAATAATAATATCTTAATTTTAGGAGTTATCCAATAAATAACCGGAGGAGTTTTTATTTTTTTTTTCAATGAAATAAATGTAGGAAATTTAGAATACCTAAATTTGGGGAGGCTGCTCAGAATCCCAATAAAATGATCAGACCTCATTAAAAATGGAAACTTTTTTTATCAAAATATAAACTTGAAAGACAGATATTACAGTAAATACTCCAAAAATTACTAGAATTTAAGATAAATATGAACAGTATGAACAAAATTTCAACTGTGCAAACAGTCAATCTGGGAAAATTGAGAGATTGAAGAAGAAAATATACAAAAATATACCTCTCGGTGACTGATTTTCTCGCCATCAATCTTCCCCCTCGCAGATACATTCCTCCTTGCCACAACACAATCCACTGACCCAACAGCATCTGCAGAAAATCCAATTCCCGGACCACACCATACATCCTGGATTACCCCACAACCATTCCCATTTCCACCATCGCTCACAAAACCTTGATGTACCTTACTATTCTCGTTGGCAACCTTGTTGTTACTGCTATCACTGCCTTTCTTCTTCTTCTTTTCTTGTTTTTGGGTTTTCTTCTTCACTTTTTTGGCCTCCCAATCCGCCGATGTGCGTATCACAGCAGGGACCGACACCTGCTGTGATGCAGAGGCAGTACACCCAAGCGCTCTGAAGGTGGATTGGGTGGCTTTCTTCTTGGGGGTGACGTTGGTGTTGGTGTTGGTGTTGGTGGGTACGGTTTCATTACCACCGTTGTTGCTGGTGGAGAAAGTGGAGAGAAAAAGAGAAGAGATGGTGGGTTTGCAACGGGTGGATTGAATTAAAGATGGGATTTCTGAGGTGGGATCTGCCTCCATGATTTGGTTTCTGGGTCTTCTCCCTTTCATGTGCTCTGCTATTGTAGAAGATGAAGATGAACCCTCTTCGAGAACCGGCATGGTTGATGGTTTTCTGCAAGAAAGACACAAACTTGAAGAATAACGGAATGTGGATATTTGATTAACTAACTAGAGAGGGAACAAAGGATATGATTCTAAATTTTGTGGAAGAGACTTTCCAATCTTATCTTAGTTTTGCAGAGCATTTAGGGAGGAATTTGCTCTATTATGGGTGTATTTAATATACAATTTCTTTAATTTTGAGGTTTTTTAGGTGGGCTATGGTCTATGGTTTGTCTTCTTGTTGGGATTTGTGGGGAATTTGCTATCAAAACCAGCCCCCCTGGAATCTGTAAACAAGCTTTTGCTTTTGCTTTTATTAATATCAGCTGCTTTTTCCAAGCTAAACCGATGCTTACTTATCAGGGGCAAAGTATTAAAAGCTTTAAAATTTTACCTTGTTTGTGTCTTTTCTGCACAGAACTTACTGTTCTTAGGCAGAGAAATTGGGGCAGGGGAGCTTCTTTTGTATTCTATTGAGGTCATATGCCATTCCCACCATCTAATGGAATCGGGTTCACAGAGAGTCAGATCTGAGGTGCAGTATGGGTGGAGGCAATTTAAAGGACCCCACATGAGGAAATCACAAGGTCAAAAATTAGGAGGGTTTTTGGGGTAATGCGACTTTCATCATGGAATTAGGCGACATTGTTTGCAGTCATGTGGGGTGGTCTAATTTTGACTCAAGGGGTGTCTTCAATGGAAAGCATCTAATTTCTGGGGCCCTTCTCTGTTCCTTCTAAAGCAGTGACCATCATTTTGTAGCTAAATTGGAAGGTTTTGATGATCATTTATTGTCATATATGCAATCCTGAGTTAATTGTTCAGGCTACAGGGAATGAAACAGGGTGTCATGTGTTGGCTTGATTGACAATGCGTTTATCCTCGTTTTGCTTATCAAAATCCAAATACCAAAAGAGTAATGGAAAAAAAATATTGCATCTTTTATCTTTGAACTTTGTAGTTTTAAATAAATTGAGTTTCTTAAAATTTAAATTTGAATTTGATATTATTATAATGACATGAGTTTGAATTTTTATTAAATTTAAATATATTAAGTTTGAATTTGATTCATAAATTTAAATTTAAATTTAAATTTAAATTTTATTATTTAAATTTAATTTAATATTAAATAATTAAATTTTATATATTTAATATATAATTATTTTTTAATACAATTAAATTAAATCAAACTAAATTAATTCAAATTAAATTTTGAATTTAACTTAAACTTGTTTTGATTTAATTTTTCAAAAACTCACTTTTAAGTACTCAAATTTGAATTGAACTTGGCCATGACTCGAGGAGCTCAATTCATTTACGGCCCTAACCTCTAGTAAGTAACATATCAACCATCTTAGATTCATGAAATCAAAAGACGTGAAGCTTGGTGGAATTCCAATTTTTACAGATGAGGAGGCTCCTCATCCATCAGATGTTTGCCGTGTTGGTGTGAAAAGAACATTTGAACTTGTTTCTGAATAAGATTCTCCAACAAAATTTTGAAGTTTAAAATAACATATGAATGGAAAATGGATTAGCTTTTTTCACTTTGTCAAAACTTTTGAAATCTAATGAACTGTAATTGTTCTTGGACCATTTACAAGGACAAACATGTGAAGACAAGGGGAAAAAACAATGGACTCAAACTATGGTTAAATGAGTCATATTTTATCTTTTTATCTCTTTATTTTTAGTCTTTCTCTCTTTATTCTGGGCCACTACCTCAAATATTAATTTAGTCCCTTTTTTTTTAAACAGGAAAAATACCAAGGAAGGAAAAATCTTTAAATGATTGGTGAGACTCGAACATTCAATTAATTAAATTTAAATATTAAATTTTGAAAATAAACTATAAGGTTCAAAGGATCTATTCAAATATTAATTTAGTCCTTTTTTTTGTTTATTTGTCAAAATATTAATTTGGTCTTAACCGAACATTTTGAGCAGTATATAGGGGTGCACATAATTTTCTTCTTTCTTTTTTCTGGCTAACACCCTACCTGAAATTAAAAATTGTGGTATTGACTGATGAAATAAGGTTTCAAAATGAAAAAGATTCTGTAATATATCATGACTTATATCTTGTATGAGTCATGATTCAATTATATATACGTTAAATAAATTCCATAAAAATTATTAATGGTTGATT